TTATGCAATAGCAGTATAATGGCTTTAAAAAAATCCACAGGAGCATGTAATCCATGGAAATCATTAGCTGGAGATCAGTGGGGACACAGACCATCTTAAAACACTGTAACACCACCAGAAGAATATTATACAAGGCATAAATGCTTCTGCTGAGTATGTAGCATATATAGATACACACGTGAGAAAGGCCACTTTTATTCATTGCTCCAGAAAGCATTAGATCCGAGTTGTCCTTCAGAGGCTATTCTCTCCACACAGTACTGAGGATTAGCCTGCTCTTACGTACTTGCTAAGGACCCAGCGATCCCTCTGGGCTCTTGGCAGACTGAGCACCTCTGGCGATCATTCACTGACGAGACAGCGGAATGACTCCGGCAGCTACGGGAGCCATAACCAGAGAATAAGGCTCCAGTGCCAGTTCTGCAAGTGGCTTCAGTTCACTCTCCTTTATTCTCCCTATCCCTTGTCCCACCACCAGCAGGGAGCTGACAGTTACCACTGTCTTTTAAGAGCGGCCACTGGTGAGTTCAAAGCAGCCCAATATGCTCTTGCTTTATTTACGACAGCTCTGTTTCAAGCACGTTCCCCTTTGCCGCCAGCAGTCTCACTAATCAATTAACACTCCCTACATTATTAAGAATCAACAAATTCACAGTGTGCCCTGAGATGAAATCAGGACGTTCCGCGTTGTGTTACCACAGAGAAGAAATTCCATTTCAGCCGAAAGCTCCCACCCCGTGCGGGGCGGGAGGAAGCAGCAGGTGAGTGACGCTGCAGTTGCACCAACACTTCAGGCCAGCACACACCTGTGCTGCTGCCAGAAGAAATGGCTTTCCCCCAACTTCCCCCCCACCGCCACGTCCCTCCTTATTTTGGCACAAAAATGAGCGCTCAGCAGAACAGATCAAGGAATTGCCTCAAGCTGAATTTTACTGGAAGAAGGGTATTTTTAACCTGGAACAGTTCTCCGGTGCCATTCATCGTGTAGCACCACAACCCACTCCTGCCGGTTCGAGGCAGCGGGAAACTCTCTGCTGGACACGCAGGTTCACGCCAGCTTAAGACAAGTAGGATGTAACAGCCTGACGGACGGCAGGCAGGGCTTTTCTTTTCATACTACAGATTCAAACTACGCCAAGCACAACACAGAAAAGCTGCTGCTGATAGCCTTTCGGTTACCCCGGTGATAGTAAAGATGATTCGTGTCAAACCCCACTGGACAGGTATTTACCCTGCACTGCGCTTCCCGGCAGGCAGGGTCAGCAGGGCCCTGGCAGAGAAATGACGCACACGTGGCAAATAAATGTCACTTTACACATGAGCATTCAAAATACGAGAATGGAGGAGAAACACCCAGTGGTTCAGCTGTCCTCCTGCACAGAGAGCACAAGAGCAGCCACACAGAGCGCTGCACAAACACTGAAATTTGGCTACAAAACCACGCCAGAAATGTCAAGCTGCGTACTCTAAACTTCGGGAGCTACATGGTGTGAAGAGGCAAGAAAATGCACCCTGGGTTATGCCTCTGCAGGGCAGGAGTGACACCGTGTGGCAATTTGCTTTAACTGGAGCACTGAACCAATTCAGCCAACAGTCATTAATCGTGTTTAAATTAAGCAGTGTAGGATACTACCTGCTCTGGACTGCTGATGTTTTAGTAGGAAAAAAAAAAAAAAAAAGGTCTAGGATAGCACACCATATCCACATGAAACTTCAAAATGCATTTGAAAATAAGTTTTTATAATGTGCCAGTTGACGATGAAGCAGCTGGTGTAGGCACCATCCCAATGCCCGACATCCTACAACCCCAGTTCCCTTGCTAAAACTCCACTCAGCCTCAGTGGTAAAAAATGAGGGAAGAAGATGAAAGGGGAGCCAAACACCCCAAGGAATGCCACATTTCATTCCTGGCTTCTCCGAAGAGTTTTTCATTTGCTATATGAGAAGCAAGAAGTTCACAGCAGAATGGAAGCAACAGGGAAGTTGCTCCCCAGCAATAAGACTGTTTTCCAAAAACCACCGTGCACCTCATCCCTCTCATTGCAGGCACACTATATACAGCTATCTGAAACTGCATGCACACGCGGCCTTTCCATGCCACCAAGCAGTGTCTCAATTTTCAGGCTCATGCTGCATTGTATTTCCACATTTTTATGGCATACTTCTTGGAAAAGGGAGTAAATGAAGAAGAAACCAGGCCCAAAGTCACGCTTCTCCTCCATGCAAAAAGGAGTAGGTGGCATCCAACAGCGCGGGCGGACAGGGCTCAGAGCCAGGGCCAGTGTTTATCCATCCCTAACTACCCAAACGACATATGCCAAAGTACGAAAATGCAAACACTGCCCTAAATATAATTCTGGGCTCACCCATCTACCACGCTCAGCTGATCTGCACACAAGCTCTTAGAGCACAGCAGAGCCCCGAACGTCAGGTTCACGTGGCTCTCCGTGAAGTACACGCAGTAACTCGTTCATGATGACCTCCCGACCATGGGGTACCCATATTACCAAAACACTGTCACGTGCAAAAACTAAATTGCCTCTGTCAAGCTGTCTTCAAACTTTCTAGAGCTCTGGCCTTCCAGAGCCTTTGTGCGATAATGAGTTCCTGCGACTCCTGCCAGTATTTCATTCTCTTGCCATGAGAATGATCCACTGGGCTGTACAATTATTACTTTTCTTTTTCAGTTTCATCATCAAACTGGAAGTAAGCACATTTGGATCAGCTTCAAAATCTTTCCCCCTCGCTCCATAATCCCCCTGGATTTTATTTCAGGCCTTTTTAATAATGCATTACGACGGTACCGCAGGACTGAGTTTGAGTCTTGCTGACACAGCCAATGCAGTGACGCTACCACATACTTTTCTGTTTAGTGACCCATGATGGGGGAGACAGACTTTACCTGGGATTTCCACCCATAATCTATCCTGTTCCCCAGCAGGGAGGACTGGAGCCTATGTGGAAGTCCCAGATCACTGGCATGATTACCAAACCCAACCAGTAATATTCATTCCATCTGTAAGTGCTTGACTCATTTTAAATTCTCATTCATAAAGGGACTGCCAAATTAGATTTAAGAGAGATTATCTAAATATACACTTCAAAACAAGAGTAGACTCAATTAAAACTTTCAGAGTGACAAAAGCTTCCCAAATTTATCTGCTGTGAGCAATTCTTGAATCAACAGATTTCAAATCCTGTATACGTGCTCGTAGGATTCATGTACAATTCTGCAAATATCTGTAGATGTGCCAAGATGCTGCCTGAGAGAGTCTGTGGAATATATTTTAATATTCTGAAATTAAAATCATTCTCTTCTGAAACATCTGCAAAAACCCATGATTTCACATTGGAATATCTTATTCGTGTTTATCCATTCCTGAACTAAATCCTTTCCAGAAGACTGAATTCGGTGTGGAAAAGCTGGGACATGCCTTTTTTATTATTCTTATTAGAATCTTAATTAACTTCTTTGGAGACACTCACATTAACAAAAGCAGTGGGATTTTGGAAGCGATAGCTTGCAGGCACACTATTTGCAGCATCTCAACAGGACGCTGCCATTTCTGAAGGCTCGCAGTACAGTGAAGAGCGTACTCCAAAAAGCATCGTTTAGGACACTAGCAAAGGCAAGGAGCTAAATAGGTCTGAAACTGGCCCAAGTCTGGCAGGTGAAGCATGCAAATGGAATTTGATTAATACCCTGGTTGTTAACCAATGAACCAATAACCAACTTACACTCTGATAGGAGAGTCAAAGACTTAGCAAGACCCTTTCAAGGCTTCCCCTCCAGAATTGGTCACAGCTGTGCCACTTCAGGAAAACAAAAACATTATATCCATATACTATAGAGTCCTGTGCACCCACATCTAAAGCAACACTCAGCAGCAGTCAGTGTGAGATTTAAGAGGCTGCTGCATGGTGGAAAACAAACAAAAAAAGACTTTCAGCAACTTACTTCTCTTGCATGGTAAATATATCAAAACAGCCGTTTGCCAGCATTTGGTCCAGCATTGTCAGGAGAGGTACAGACACCCTGATGAAAGAAAATAATGTAACAATGTAAATACACCTCTTGGCATACCTATATAACACTATTTTTAATTAGAAGCAAAGAAAGAAACTTCCTATCTACCTACACATATTTAAATTGAACTCTAATTTACACAGGGGAGGCTTGCTCGGTATAACTTCTGTGTGTTGGCAAAATCATCTTCATTGGCTGAGAGGGGAATGTTCCGTTACAGCCAAAAGGAAAAAACCTGATTAACAACACGCCTGGTTTAAACTTGCAGGGTCCTGAAAACACAACTAACAGTAGTAGAAATTATTAATTTATTTTCTAGTATATAAACAATGTATTCCACAAAATGTACCAGAAGTTACACCACCACCTCATTACAGGTAATTACCAAACGAACCAACACACAACGTGTCAGCTGGAATAATGATGGTCGTGTTTTCTATTTCAACAGCTGAGACAAGAAACAAAATAAAAATGAAAATTCTGTTAATAGTTGTGAGTTTTTTTCCCCTAGGGAATATTTTTTATTTCGCACATGTTTGATAAGTGAGGCTTAGAGAAATTACTCTCATTATGCAGAAGGAGTCACCTCTAAAGAAAAATCTTCACAAGAAAATTATACTTCAAGTATTTGTCAAAAACCAGTACCTAAATGAAATGCAGACTGGACTACACCGAGATGTGTGCAGCACTATACAATCCCCAGGAGTGCATTATATAAAAGCTGGTGCTTATCACATGATGCGCAATATTAAACTATGGTAGATGCAAAATATTCTACCATTGCTCATTTATTACAGGTTTTATTACTGCTGTACCAAAGAGATGTATTAAAGCAAATTTACATGGCCCAGGCATACTTCATTTGGGCATATTGAAGAAGATGTGCCATACATCTGACTCCAAATATTCCTGCTAAAAAAAGCAAAAGAAAAACATTACCGGTCATTCCGCAGGTTGTCCTCAAAGACCTTGAGCAGTGTCTCACAAAAACTCTCCATAGCACTAGAATCGTTCTGGATTTTCTTCATGTAGTCCAAAAGGCTCTGGGCAGAGTATCTGAGCTACAACAGAGGAATCCCACATGAAGGCACAGGGAGCAAACCCCGCTGCAACGCACACACACCAACCACCCGGCATCGAGGTGTACACCTGCACTGTGAATACACTCACCACAGCAGCCAAGCGTATAAATTCAGTAACAACATTTGACAGGAAGATGGCTATTTTACTTTCATTAATCCTTTTTCAAGGAAAGGGTTTTTTTCCTTTTTAAGTTTCACCATTGTAGGAAAAAAAGACCACATTAAAGGTTCTTTATTTTCTTTCTCTCAAAATAAAACATCCCCAAACCACTACGATTATCCTGCTTTACTACAAATAATAATATTGTTATGGCTCTGAAAGTTACAGAGTACACAAGAAGTTCAAGAGGTAATATTTATTAAACAAGCTGATGTAATTGAAAAACGCAGGCAAGGCTTGGGCATGTGGTGCAGGCCACACAAACCAGCAGTAAACTCGGGTTAAAAATTAAAAACAACTCAGAAATAATGACTCTTGGTTTAACTGTGTTAATCAGCTCGTTCAGAACGACGGCAGGAGGAGGTTTCGGCGCTTATGCCAAAGGCTCAGCTGGCAGCAGGCTGCCGGGTCACCCAGCTGCTCCACACCGCAGGCAACAGCCTCCCTTCTGCACCCCAGGGCCGGGGGCCCCAGCTCCCCACGGCCGGGGGTCCCAGCTCCCCACGGCCGGGGGCCCCAGCTCCCCACGGCCACAGCGCTGGTGAGCCCCAGCCAGGCCGGCGTCTCCTCTCCGGGCCCTGCGGTGCGGGAGGGCAGAAGACAGAGCCTCTGCGGGACGCCCCTTCCCTGCGGGATCCGTGTCCCCAGGCAGCCAACAGTGCACCCAGGAGCTGCGGGACGGGACTGCGACAGGCTCCAGGAGCTCCAGGACACCACTACTAACGCAGAGATGTCCCATTGCTGGGAGAGGCAGGAATTTCAGTTTCCAGGCTCATCTTTTGCAATATTAATTGACTTCCCTTGAGGAGGAGAAGAAAAATGTGGGGGTTTTGGTTACAGAAACTACCTCAAAGGAAGATGTCTCATCAAGGATAAACATAATCAGATTTCTGAATTTTCCTGACTGCGATGTGAAGGAACATCAGCCCTGCTGGGACTTGGTCAAGTGGCTTAGGGAAGCAGGGGGTGTTAGGGGGTGTCCCCCTGTAAGAAACTGCCTTACAATGAGGAGGGCCTTACAATGAGGTGGGGCACACCAGTTTTGAAGTACAAATTTCTTTCAGTTTTGGTTACAAGTGTTAAATAATTTTATGCTGAGTCAAGAGGGGGCTGTAAGCAGTAAGTAAGCCTGTTCAGTCAGCGCAGATTTTCTTTCTGAAGCTCATACATAGCATATTGATAGCGCATTCAAAGGGGCAATCAGTTCCCTCAGGAGATTGACCCTTTTATCAAGAAAAGAAAAAAATGTATCAGATCAGTATGAGAAGTGTCACAAGCATCCTCCTGAAAGCAAGGGAGGAATCTCTATTTAAACATTTTATCTAATTTAAGTTGTATATCAGCAACATTTATGGGTGCATCAGCACAGAACAAGAAACGTTTTAACCTTGAATCAAAACTCTGAACTAGTTTTCAAAAGCTTTCGCCTACTTGTAAACAACAGGGCACAGCAATCCACACTACCTGGAAAGCAGCGCACTCTGCTATTTTAACAATTTGTTCTACAGTGAAATATCCCGGGCAATGCAGACGTAGAAATATTTATTGAAAAAGGTCCGGCAATTTAATGAACTTACTCGGTTATTCTGCATTTCAAAATGATAGCCAAATCTCAGTAAAAATTGTTTAAACATTTGTAAAAGCCAGCTATACTAAACTGAAATACGGAATTGAACTGAGTGTGGTTCCTTCCTATGCCACGCTATGGTATGTTTCCCTCTCTTTACAGGTTATACAGTTGTAAGGAAGAGAGATTTCCTGAAAATTTAAAACCTGCTTTATGATTGTACACTACCCTTTAAAACAATCTGTGCATTTAAGACCATTACAAATAAAGAAGAAATATTTTGTCTTAATACCTTATACTAGCAGAGATCAATTACAAGCAGAAGATCTGTTACATCTGAGTCAAGTCTCAGGAAAAGATCTTAAAACATGTCTGGTTAACCATGTAATTTTCTATTTCTTTTGTCTTTAAACTACCTTGCAGATCTCACACCATTTTTTGAAGAAAGCTTAATTACTCAATGCTTTTTCTGCGGATTCAAATGAATGAGGAGGCAAGAATGGGCACGAAAGAAAAGGGCAAGCACAGCTACACGTAAGACATTCCAAAGCTGTGCAGAACCAAGACAGAGTAGCAGGATGATCAGAAAAAATGTATAATGAAGACAGCATTTCTTCATTAGCAAGTAATTAAACAATACAAAAGTACAGGTGTGATTAAACCGTGGCCTAACTGCTTGGAAGGTCTTAAAATGGGACATTTTCCAAATAGTCAGCACAGACCACAGGAACTTTAGTGGAAGAAACTCTAAGTTATCTAACAAAATAACTTTACATGAATACGTTAAATCCCTATTTTCTCCTCAGGTGAACACTCCTTTTTTCCCAGATAACCTATGAGGACAATATCTGAGCTATAACTGTAACTGCTCATGAGTATTTGCAGAGAAGAGCATCTCCAAACTTCTTCCTCATCTATGCAGAACACAGAATTCACACTATATCAAATGTGTGACATTTACCTTTCCCTGGGGTTCCAACAAGGACTGGGAAAGGAAATTAGGAGGTTAATGGGTTGGAATTGGGACAACTTTGGATAAGAATTTAAGAGGAGGCCTGAGAATGACCTTGTTCTTATTAAACATAGTAAAAACAGGGTTTGCCACGGCTTGGCTCTCCCCTCATTTCAGCCAACAGCACAGACTTCAGTGACAGGCAATACACGGAAAGGTGAACGGCGTTTGAAGGGACCACCCATCTGTTGATAAACTAAAGTCCTAAGGATTTTACCTCCTGAACCAGGGGGGAAGTATGAGGAAGCGTAGCTACAGCAAGGGGCGAAGGCAACTACAGCTCTGGACGGGCGCGTGGCGTATAAATAAACCTTCATGAAGCTGTTTCCTAGTCAGCTTGTTGCAAAACCAAAGTAGAGCACTTCTAAAAACTGCCTTAAGGCAACCAGTGGGACTGATACGGCCAAAACAAAATTAGCTGAGGCACCCAGTTTGTACCAGAGCATCCAAAATCTGAGCTACTCGTCAGCTATAAAGACGCCCAGTCCACAGACGGGCTCTGATCCTTACTTTGCAGTGCTACCTTGGACAGACCTGATAAAAAAGGCAGTGGGGTATGACAAGACAGGAAGACCTGTACTGCAGATGTTCAGTAGATTGACATACCCTAATGGCTGTCATTCTCCCATTGAACCAGTCTCCTCGGAGCCCCAGGTATCTTACAAAATTCAGTCTTCTGCACCTAACACACCACAAGTGGAAGTCAAGCGAGTAACTACTGGGAAAGGCTGGACAAAATCAGAGGTACAGATAACTGCTAAAGGCTCCAGTTTTCACAGAAGCATTTCAACGGAGCAAGAGCTGCTCAGAGTCAGACCATTCCTGTAACACTTGCAGAAGAAGCCATGATACGCTCAATAAATAACAATGGTTTTGGATCATTTCTGATCTCGACAGATTTACAGCACTGAAGTGGCAGTAGCCTATTTTCCCAGCAACTTTAGAAAAAATTGCATATCATTTAAATTTTAGCACAAGTGAAACCACATCTCCCTTGTTTTACTTGCAACACTGCTTTTAATAAACCAAATCTTTCGATGCCAGTAACTCTTAAGACTCAAGTCAATGACGTTTTATGAGAAGTAGGAATATCATCATTCACACTTTTTTTCTTTAAAACAAGAATGCCAGAAGTTATTCTCAAGTGTATTTTGCTCAAGAATTGTCAACCAAGAAGACTGGGTTTAGGGCTTGTTCCTTCAAACCACATATGCATTAATTTGCATACAATTTGTCACAGTAACCAGATGTTTTAGAACATCATCTACGAATGTCCCACCGCTTTCATTTGTAAGAACCAACACAGCTGTTCAAAGCTCCTTATTTGCTCCAAACACACAGTCACAAACATCACCGGCAAACAACGAGTCCATTCTGAGGAAAGTAAAACATGAATAGTATCACGCATTTGGCACATCGATAGTGTGGAGGACATCTGTATGCCACAGCCAGCCTTTAAATTTTGTCAGGGGCTTTAACACACATATGATCGGATAGTCTTGGAACTGGCCACTCCAATTGCCACAGGTCTTTGGCATCTCATGTCGGAATCCTGGTACTGGCCTGGGAGAAAACGCTCCATTTTCAAAACAGGTTGCTGCTTTTCTCCGCCCCCCCCAAGGTTTTGCTTTAGATTTCTGTAACATTTTAAAATGTAATTTTCACTCTTTATGGGGGGAGGGGAATCACAGGACATTCTGTGCTTCAACAAAATTTTAAATGTAGTGTAGTTTAACAATAATGAAATTATATCAAAATTGTATCCTGACCCCTGAAACTACAGGGTTTGTGAACTGGAGAAAGAACACCATTGTACAGTTCTGATCTCTATATACTGAGAGGATTTTTTATGCAGCCATAAGAAATACGCATCGTTGTGGGCCAGATATATAATTAGAAGATTCTTTTACACAGAGAAAGTGCCCTTTGAACCAAGGCGATGTAGCAGAATGCCAAATCCCAAAGGGAATGACATCTTCTGTTTTTCCAGATTACTTCAAATGCTTGAGCTACAATTCTTTCAGCAACCACACTGCCACCAAAATGTTTCTGAAATACCCCACACAGCTCATTTCAGAAAATCTCTTTACAAAGCAAAACAAAGAACTACTCTTGCTAAATATACTGCAGAGCCATTCTAACTATGGAAAAATAGCCCCTGACCACTGGATTACAATGGAGCCTTTCTCCTACTCATTCCCTGAGATGACTTACAGACAAACCGACATTTGAACTCAGATTATCTTGCAGTATACGAGAATATTCTAACTTTCTAACGTCTATGTCCATGTGTGTATGTGCGTACATATTTTTACGTGAGAGAAGGAAGAAAGGAGAGATCACAAGAACACACATAGGTTACTGCAAGAACATGTATTTGAATAATCTTTTTCCTCTATCCAAGATTTTAAAAATCTGCTTCTTTCATATTTTTAATTTAATTTAATGTTTTAAATCAGTCCCTGGATATTCAGCAAAGAACACTACAGGATTTGATAGAATAGTTTGAAACACAATTCATTATAAGATACATCAATTCTGACTTATATATCACATTTTAAATATTAAATGTAATTCACCACACACTGTATAACCCCAAGTGAAGTACCCTATACTTCGAGCCTCCCTTGCGCTTCTATCTGGCTTGAAAGAGAATCAGGACATCATCTTTCGAAAGCCAAAGCCCTTGAGAATATTTTAACCGGAACAAGCCTTTAGCGTTAAAGAAAAATGCAAGGTCACAGAAAGTTAACATTTCAAAATCATATTTTGAAAACAGCACAGAAGGTTTCCCTTAAATGTACTGGCAGACAGTAACAAGGGAAGGGAGCTACAAGTAACTGAATTGTTTGCACTTTTCAAAACCAAGTACAACCAGAACTTTAAAAAAAAAAAAAAGTTATTAAAATGTTGAATAAGAATTTTCCTCTGACCTTGGTTAGCAGTCAAAATGTCTCTTTCTCCACAACTTTCGTCCCTTTTTATATGTATATGAATATCTTTGGTTTTGCTGGAGACTCCTATAATTAACTATGTTTGACTAACAGCTCAATTTCATGTACATGTCTGCTATTAAAAAAAATCTGTTAAGAGTTACATTGTCTATCCGATAATTATTGTCACAAACCAATAAGCATATGTTTTCAAAGTTTTAAAATAGCCGTTGCTATATAATTAGCTGCCATTTTAGAAACACTAAAATTCACAAAATTGGTTTAAATACACGAGACTGCACAGACACCAAATTCTCTTCTCCACAAAACCCACAGGCACACGGACGTCTCTTGCTCACGAGCACAGAACCCACGGCATCAGGCCAAACCCATCATCTGGGCATACTCAGAACAGCTCATGGTAGGACTGAGAAGTGGAAGCCATGGCAGACGAGCTCGAAAGGATTACCTCCTTCCTCCTGTGAACCCAGCAGGAGCTGTTCGCTCTCCACAAGAACTGTTTCCCGACACTTAGCGCTTTTCTACCAGCTTTCTTAATTAGAGACGGCAATCTTAATTAGAAACACTCTTAAACACTGTTGGGGTGCTGACTCATGACCTCCTCCTCCTGTTACAGGACCGCTGCAATTTAAAGATTTAACTGACAGTCCAGAATATTCTGTTACTGGTCTGGTATTTCTCTGTAGTGTCCTATTGAACTGTGTCCTTCTCCCAATAGTTGTTTTCGTATCTGTTACATCTTTGGCTACATCAAATAACAAAAATGTTAGAAGCCAAATATCTTGAAACCACAAATTCTGAAACTAGCGACCCAAGCTGTGATATAAGGACAGAAGGATACACCAAAATTATAATAAAGCCTGGAAGATTTTGGCAGCAGCACAGACTACCAAAACCAGTAACAAAGACACTGTTCATGCACAGAAGAATGAAATAGAGATTGCAAAGCTCAGAGGACTCAGACAGACATTTGAATGATATTTCTTTGTAATGTAATTTCCGGTTATCTCTCTGGGACTTTTGTGGAAAGCGTATCAAAATTAAAAAAAAAAAATCTGAACATACTGTTAACACATATTGACAACTAATAGTTAATGTTTTGCATCAGGTTACAAAGGAAACAGGCATTCAGCACATTTAAAAAGAGCAATCACCTTGCCTTTAGCCATAACATCTAGCTGAACAGCTCTTCCTCTGTTAACAAAGGTAAGAGTTGATTGAGCAACAGGCTGGAACTCTCTGGTTCTATAAAGCCAGGAAATGAGAAACAGTGCCCTTGGTCCTTGTTCCCTGCATGCGCAGCAAGTCAAGAAAATAACACTTTTAAAGATGAAAAATATAAAGCCCATCAGGTTTAAAAGCATGACGATTTCTTTTAAAAATCTTACATCTGAAATTCTCACTATCTGCAACATCCATTGTTAACAGACTAAACCCTTTAGTCAACAATTTTAGCGGGTAAATGCATTCTCCTACCAAAAGGAAAGCCTCTCAGCCTTCTTACCGTTGTCTCTGTTAATCCACCAACAGACACAGAGAGACCCAAAAGCACGTAGTATCGGTATGTTGGCAAACCCAAAAGCTGGGTGATACGAGGGAAAGCTTCCGATGCGGCATTCCAGTTTAGAGTCTCTTTCTCTGACCTGGGGAAGGAAAAAAACTTATCTTGCATCTGTGCACTGCCTTTCTTCTCCAGACATCCTTTATGATAGCTCCTCAGCCTCAAGCAGCATGTCAGTGAAGAAAGTCTCTGAACTACCTACAAACCAAATTAATCATTGGCTTTAGGCATATGGGGAAAATACAAATCAGAAGTTTGGCCACTGCCAGTAGAGTGAAGCAATGTTCAAGTCCCTGTTCTGATTCAGATAAGGGATTTGAACCACAGTTTCCTTTTCACATGCACTTTTCTCTACACCAAGAAAACCCTTTCTTGCATTCCAGTGCGAGTCCTCTCCCACCGACAGCTAACCAACAACTGACACAGAGCCAGCCTTATCCCAGGAAAGGCGAACGCACATACACCCCATCACAGATCAGCCAGCAGCCGAGCAG